ATTCGAGAGTATTAAAGTCGAATGTGATTTTGGGTTTGTTAACGAACAAATCCTATCAAGGAAATGACTCGCTAAAACCGTGACTCATACCATACGTACATATATACATACATAAATACATACATACATAAATACATACATACATATATACTTACATACATATATATATATATATGGACACATTCACTTGTGTATGTATGTGTGTATATATGTATGTACGTAAACAAATTTACAAAATTAACAGTTGGTTCTATCATTTATATATGTATGTACGTCGCTATAATAAGAGAATAAATGAAAATTTTAATTTTCATTCGCAATTGATGAACGTAATAAATTGTTACTAATAAAATTCGTCGATCCTTAGAAATTCAATCGAGGAAGCTCAATATGAATTTTTTTTTGCTTTACTTCGGACCATTTTAAAACCACAATAAAGAGATTTCGAGTTATCGTTGATTTTTTTCTTTTCTTAATTTTTTTTCCTTCCTTTTTTCATTTCAACGTTAGCATGTCTATGTAAAACATACATTTGTCAAAGAAATTGTATTGAGATCGTATATATTTCTCGAAAGAATAAAATTTATCTGTAAAATTCGTAACGGTTCAATGTTCCTTATATCTTCTTACGTATATTCGAAGGCAAATCTCAAGAAAGTAGATCTCGCGAAATGATAAAAACGCCATGCTTCTTCGGTAAAGTATGCATCCATTTGATAGTCACAGATATCTTCGTGCTCGTATAAATTTGAGAGATCGGCCCTCTCATTCACACTCGCTCTGAATTGGGTGGAGCATCAGAAGATCCGTACCGAGGATTGGACGACTCGAAAGGCACAAGTTTTGATGAAATACGTTCCCTCGAAGTAGAAACGCAAAGTAGGAAGTCTCCTTGAACGCGGCCACGAATAACGACTGAATATAGGCCACGAGTGAAGGGAAAATGATGAAGATATCCCACATTTACGTGATAATGTCTATATACATCGATATTTTATATCCCTTTTCTCCTAGATATACGACTTCTTTTTTTTTTTCTACAACTTAAAGAAGAAAGTACAAATATTTTAATCGTCAATTAGAAAGGGACTCATAGGTATATGCATCTATATGTTCCAATGTTACAATGTAAAATTATTAATAAATAATATCACTTTTCGTAAATATATGAAAATTATGATATATATATATATATATATATATATATATATATATATATATATAAACATACGCACGGAAATAAATATACGTAAGTATATAAAAGTATATATTGATCAGATTATTATCAATTTATTTTCAATATCTTTATTGCGAAAATATTTATTATAAAAATCATATAGAAATAATTTTTTTACTTATTTCTCTGTTTCCATTTTTCCTTTTTAAATTTATCTGTAAAACTGAATCATGGTTTAAATTGAATGAATGAAAATATTAGAAACATTTAATTCGTATTATCAATCGATATAATTCTACAAATAATATAATAAAAGTGAAAGTGAATAAAATTAAAGTTCTACAGATATGGACCAACTGGCTCAAATAACCGAATCCTATCAGTCGCCGCACGTACAGATATATGTGAGAGTATCATGTGATCGCTTTGTAAAGGATTCCCTATGATTTGTCCTTTGTTCAAAAACGAAGTATTTTATCGAACGAAAGAAAATACAATTCTCTACATCGACATACATACATACATATATACATACATATATATATATATATATATATATATATATATATATACATATATACATAAATATATATACATACGAAATTCGTGAATATTCTTATTGTATTTTACAGCAAAGAGAAGATATAATCGGAAAATGAAAAAAGAATATGCAAAGTATGTAAAAACTAATGGCTTTTTTGTTTTCTTAAAAAAAAAAAAAAGAAAAAGAAAGAAAAGAAAGAAAAATAAAAAAGGGAAAAAAATAATCCTTTTGATAAAAGTAAGGAAACTTTATTTTGAACTTTCGACTTATTTTTATATGTAATATCACTAGATTCTTGGTTATACTACTAGTTATAAACCAACCTGTGTATGTATGTGTGTGTGTGTGTGTATGTATGTATGTATGTGTGTCTATAACATGTGTCTATAATTCTTTTCTCAAGTTCGTTTTTCCATAATCATAGTTCGAGCAACTTTATTCTCTTCCGTTGCCACTAGCATCGTCGCCCACTTCTGCTCCTGTCACCTATTTTTCGATGTATATTACTTCCCTCGTGATTCGTTTTAAAACATCCAACTCCTAAGGAATATGTTGAATGAATGTTCAATTACGTTTTCGATCATATTATACGGAATTTATAAAGTCACTTTGGCGAATATAATCACTTGAGACAGCATCAAAGATATCTAAAGCATCATCGTTATTTCATGAAATATTGAAGAAGAAGATGAGAGGTCTGATATTACCTGATAGAGAAGTAAGTGGTAAAGACTATTATGGATCAGATACGTACTTTATCGCAAAGTTTTTACAACTTTTTTACGACGCATAAAATGAAATTTAATCTCGAAATATTGAAAATTTGAAAAAATTCTCTTTGAAGAAAACGACAAGTTAGATGTATTATTTTACAATTAAAAATGATTTAATAATAAATTGAAATTATTCAAAGGAGTATTATATTCAGACTCATTGCTAAATGATAAGGTTTATTATAAACGTATTTAATCACATAACATTCGAATAGTATTTGAAATATAGAAAAAATATATTAAAATCTATACCATATTCGTATTTTCTAGATTTACGTATTTGTGAGATATAAGTGTTACCAAGGTGATTACAACATTTGATTTCTAATCCCTTGAAATTAATCGTAATATTTTACTTGGATGAATAACCAATCATTAAGGTAACATTCGGATATTCGATGATAACATCGTTAGAACGCACATCGATTTTCCGTTCTGATTGCTCACGGTAGAACGACCGAGGTAGTTTGGTGTCCAAGCAACGTCGAGGTCACCGACTACGATATCTTGGACGCGTTTACGTTTCATAATTTCCGATGTGTGAACTCGATATCGATTTCCTTTAGCAGAACTAACCCAGACCTTTAGGATACTCTCGTTTTATCGAGATACGACTACGTTAAGTTCGTTGTGTTATGCTCTCTCCCTCTCTCTCTCTCTCTCTCTTTCTTTCTTTTCGTTGCCTCCTATTGACTCAGTTTTTACTTTTTCAATAGCAACGGCAAAAGTGTGTTGTGCCGACTTGATAGAAAAACTTCAAAAGTCTGATTGAAAAATAAAAAGAAAGAGAAAATTAGTTTAGCAATTCAAACGACAACGGTGGAAAGTAAAATCGCGTTTTATGTTTGGTAACATTCTGACCATATTTGGTACAAGTTCCAACCACATTCCGAACATTCGTCATTTTTCAATTTTAATTTTTCTTATAGTAGAGATCGATATAATCATAAATTGTATTTAATAGTCTAACGACAAGATCTGTCACGATAAAGTCATATCTTCATTAATCGAACGATTAAAGATAGATGTTTCGAGATATCGCAATTTCACGTCTCACTCGAGCCCAATGTATACCGCAGATCGATCGGAAACTCTGCTTTCATTAGATTCTAATTAAAACCAGCTGTAACTTCTCTGTACATTGAATTCAGTTTACTTCAACCCTTATCATAAGACTAAATTCTGAATTATTTGCATGATTGTTCATTAACAATTGGTGTATCAAGATTTTTCTTCAAAATTAACATAACTGACGCGTAAATCGTGTACCGACATAACGCACGATGTCTGCGATCACGTACGCGTAAATTTTCTTGCTGATTTATGCAAATTATTGGTACGTCCGAGGTTAACATACCACGCCGTATGATCGTGAAATGTTTCTGCGTAATATCCAGAGCCGTACGGGTGTACGCGCGTGTACAGAATAGAAGGATTTCATTAGCATCCACGATTAATTTTCAATAACGCTACCTGATCGCTAACAGTCGAAATAATACAGTAGAAGTAACATTGTGTAAGTGGGCTAACGAGAAATTCATTCCCCGATTTGAAATACATGTATGTGATTCTTTTTTTTTTAAATTTGTATGAAAGAAAATCTATTAGATTTTGTTTCAAAAATAATCATTACGAAAAGAGGATTGTACGTTCTAACAATGTAGGATTTACAACAAATTTCAAAATTAAGTTAATCATGTTAAATATTTAAGTCATTTTACACATTATCCATTATATTTCGTAGCGTTTGATAATTCATAGAATAATTTCACAATGTTCAACGTTACATTTATATTTTTGCTTGAAGCTTACAGAATCGTAAAACAATAATCTAGAAATATTCGAATAAGAATGATACATCGAAAAGAATGTTTTAAATCTTCCATATAAAACTAGTCTTCATAGATCCATTAAAAAAAAAAAAAAAAAGAAAGAAAAAAAAAACAACAATAATAATTTGTTTGTAAGATTAAAACTATTAATTTATATGTTTAATGTTGTTAAATATTTTTACAAAGTCGAAATGGCCAAGATGTTTTTTTTTTTTGTAAAAAATTCCATAATTTTGTAATGTCGTCGAATAATAACATTAACACAGTGACATGAATGGTTTTTTAATGAATTAAAATTTCGTTAGATGCGTGGAGGAAAAAAAAGGGAGAGTAGAGTAGCGAAGGTCATGGGAAGATCAGGTGTTAGGTCCGACTTTTATGACACGAAAATCAGTTTCCACGCGGACTCGCTGAAAGTTTCAACGGAAACGAGCCCCGACGGTCGTATCCATCACTGTCGTCGGCCTCGTTGCATTAAGCATAGACGACACAGAACGATAAATTCCGAACATTTTCTTTCGCATTTCCCATAGATCATAATTTGCGAGTTGAGTCTGGTTAATCCCACCGCGAGTTAAAATGATCAAGTATGGTTAACACGAAAACAGTAAAGAAAAAAGAAAAAACAACAAAAAAGAAAAAAAAAGAAATTAAAGAATAGAAGAAAAACTCACCTGTTAGATAATTACGATGATCCGCTAACGATGTCCTCTTAATTTTAAACTCATGAGATTTAAAAATCACGCGCCTCGTCCTGTAACTTGCATCATCACTATGATCGGTATCACAAACACCAGTATCACTACTACCACAACCACCAATAGCGACAAAGACGACGATGACACTAAACGAGATTGGAACAACACTCGCGAACATTCACAGATCGATCTTTACACATCCAACGATGAGATAACAATCATCATGATAACACAATCACCGTTCGCTTGTATGTAAAATCCATAAAACAGGCACCTCTCAAGTCTCCTCGTAGTGTTCCAAAAGAAATCCTCGTTCATAAATCGACAAGTTCGATGCACAGTTCGTCGATCTAAAAAAGCGATAGAGCTGAAAAAAGAAAATACGTTCAAGGTTCCTTTAATCGTTTCAGTCTCGTCCGATCTATCGTAGTTTTATACACGTGAACGAGTCTCGTTTTGAGACAGACTTTCTTTCTCTCTAACAGAAAAAGAAAGAGAAAGAGAAAGAGAGAGAGAGAGAGAGAGAGAGAGAGAGAGAGAAGAGGAAGAGAGAGAGAGGGAGAGAGAGAGAAAGAGAGAAAAGTAAAGAAGTGATCAGGCTCTCCTCAGCGATTTATCAACACACACGTGACGACACGAGCTAGAACACATAGGAGAGCACTAATATATTTTCACGCACGAATATCACGCACGGAAACACGCGATGAACGTCAAATGTAAAATGAGAAAGAAGATACCTATGATATAGGCATAGATCAAACAGTAGTATCCGCGTATACGTGTAAAATATACAACAGTGTATACGGAATGAATGAACGAGTGAACAACGAATGAATAGACAGACGAAGATAACAAGAGTGAGAACGAGAGTGACTGAGTGAATAAGTGAGTGAATGACTGAGTGAGTGAGTAAGTGACTGAGTGAGTGAGTAAGTGAGTGAGTAAGAGAGAGAGTATGAGAGAGAAAAAGAGAGAGAGAAAGAGAGAGAGAGAGAGAGGAGGGAGGACCAAGAAAAGGAGCGGCACAAGCGAGCCCGAACGGCGCCTCGAAGCTTGCGAGACGAACTACGGCACCGGAATGAAAAGCTCCGCAAGCTCTCGCGCACCGCGACGCCAGAGACTCCACTGGCCACCCCCGTTCGACAACGCCCCCCACCCCTTTCTCCACCTATCGTGCCGAGCGCGCCACGGTCGATTCTGCGGCTTACACTTCGGCCGGCGTGCGTGTTCGCTGGACCAGGGACGCTGTGAGAATCCTGACGAGATACGTGATACGTACGATAGAACCAATGCTCAATGCGAAAACTTCGAGCCTCTGCATGACGAGATTACTTTCATCGCGTGACGTGTAGGTACGCTCTCGTTTCCTTTGATTATTTTCTATTCTCTTCCTCTCTCTCTCTCTCTCTCTCCCTCTCTCTATTTCACCTTTTTCTTTCTTTTACTTCAGCTAACGTGATTTTCTTTTTTCATTCTCGTTAGGATAGTATATATATATATATATGTTCGTAATATATGTTCGTGAGATCAAGAACGAGAACTTTTTTCCTTCTTCTTTCTTTGTACTTATTTTTAATTTTTCTCTTTCTCTCTCTCTCTCTCTCTCTTTAATCTTTTGTATCTTCCTATTTTCTTTCCTTCTTTCTTCTTCTTCTTGTTCTTTTTTCTTTTTTTATTTTGTTTCTTCTTTTTCTTTCTTTCTTTCTTTTTTTCTCTTTTTTTTTTTTTTTTTTTTGTTGAAGTGCAGCGAAGCGGAAATTTTTTTCCACGAGAGAATATAAATAAAAGTGAAAAGTATGTACGAGGTGAAAAGATGAAATCGATTTTAGCCAGCAGGCGTGTATCCACTGGACCGTTGATGTTGCGAGACGGAGATGTTCTTATCGATAGAGGGCAGTGCATCGTACTCAGCCTTTTACACTTTCGGTCGAAGTTTCGTAGGGTTAAAGATACATACTTCAATCTAATCTTAGACAGTGAAAATTTTAAGACTTACGTTTGTCATTTCTCTTTTATTACATAGATAGATATTTCATTTCGATTTATTATCAATTTCTTTTCTTGTTTCAAAAGATATATAATCTTAATTATAAAAGAAAATATTAATAATCATAAAAATATATTAAATCATTTTCTTCTATCGTTAATCGTATATTATTCGTTCATTAGAAAATTCATTCAAATGCAAAAATTAATCGAACATTATGTTTCATATATATTTTTACGATTATTAATTTTGCCGAATCAATCAAAATTCTTCATCGATATAAAAATATATACAAATCAATTCAATGATGAGAAAACTAAAAAAAACGTTTGTTCAAAGTCAATTTGATACGAGAGAAATTCTTTTTCGTTTAATGATAAGCGACTAAGACGTTCGAGTATTTAAACCTTCCGCCTACTCTACACATATGTATGTATCTACTGTATGTATACGTACTCGTATGATAAGCGCTTATAGTACTTGCGTAGGAGACTCAATATAACGTCGTATATAGGCGAGGCACGTTCTTCTTCAATGGATTTTCTACGAGAGTACGTATAGAAAACACGCTCTACCGAAAGATAAAATAAAATGAAGGAATTGATAGGAGAAAAAGTAGCAATACATTTAACTTAAAATCACTCTTTTATATAAACGAACATGGAGACACATTTATAGAAAGAAAATTGAGTATAGTTATATATGAAAATAAAAGTAACGACTTATTACGAATACTTTCAATCGATGATTATGATTCCAATGAAAAGAAATGAAGAGGAAAGAAAGAAAAAAGAAATTTTGGTAATTTTTAGCGAGATTTATCTCCGTTTCTCTCTCTCTCTCTCTCTCTCTCTCTCTCTCTTGAATATTCAACGAAAGAGATGAGAGAATATTGAACATAGGAGAAGTCTGACAAAATCGCAGAACGTTCATCTCGGATTAAAGCAATCGTCTCAGATTAAAGTCGAGTATTCCTCAAAACCATCCTCTCACTTTCTCGAAATTGCAAGGTTACTATCCTGGAATACGCTACCGACATCATCAATGCGCCCTTGTCTTTCGTGGAACTTGATCTGTAACAACCTGTGAGTCTCTGGAAAAGAAAATTGTCATAAAAAGAAAAAAGATCCGTAAAGATAAGTACTTTCGTGGAAGATATCACGTTCGCGTTTTATAGTTTAATAAGATGTTCTCAGTAACCTTGAAACTTTTCAATGGTAATAAGTAGTTTTCAAAATGTTTTCTCAATATGTACCTAGAAGTGATAATAGTGAACTATATAATAATAGGATCTTTTTAAACTTTTTCTTTTTCTTTTTGTCGTTTTAAAGTTTACATAAAATGAAAAAGATTCGAGTTATTCGTTCTAACTATTAAAGTAAACAATTGATCGTATATAAACATAATCATATGTATAATTGTTAATAAAATAAAATCGTGTTGTTTAAATCTATTTATTTACATCATAACTTTATTAATCCTTAAAAGAAGATAATAACAAGTATTGAAGTAAGAATTAGTTATATGAAACATAGAATTGACATCGTAGAGAATGACAAAAATGATGTCGTTGATTACACGTTGACGCACCCTACCTCGAGCTTAACCCAGTCTCCAAAAGCTAGAGTGTCTGCAAGCTCCGAGGCTTACTCATTGCGTTCATCGCGCAGACTCCACGAGATCCCGCGGAGAAAAGGATAGAGGCTATCGATTCAGTTCTGCCAACGGAAGAAATATTTTTTTAGTAATTTTGACTGGATCGTATGCGATTCAGTCGACTCGTAAAACATGATTCCGTTTCTCTTTATCCTCTTTTTTTTTTTTTTCTTTTCTATCTCGTTTTATAAGCGTATCAGCTCGTTATCAGCGTAAATAAAAATATTTGATAATTTAATTATGAATAATTTAATTATGAATAATTTAATGCATATTTTTCTTCTTTTTTGTTTTCTTTCTTTTTTTTGTGTTTTTTTTTTTTTTTTTTTTTTTTAAAGTTCACACTTAACTGCAAAGAAAAGATATCATTACGAAAGAAACGTCTCGTACGAATTCATAAAATTCTATTCTCGGTAAAGTCAGTCACATACATTTCGAGCTGACGTCACGAAGAATGAAGTTACTCGAGGTACTCCGGCCGCTGAAAATTGAAGTGTCTCTGAAGAGGTTTACGACGGACTACTAATTGGCTGGACCAATTTCGGCAGATGTTTTCGGTAGCTCTTTACGTCGAGGCTTCGCGGCTAAATATGCTCGTAAATGAGAGCTTTTACCCTCTCTCCTACCTATGCTCGAACATCGTTTTTGCTTGATCGCGAATGAATTTTAAAGTACTTTCTGTATACATATATATATATATATATGTGTGTGTGTGTATATATGTATATGTATGTATACATGTATTTATGTATGTATATGTGTACGTATACACGTGGATTTACGTTCGCGCGACCTTTGAAAATGATTCATTTCATATATAAATATTTTATTTTATATGATACATTTTCATTGAATGTTTTAATATAAAAAGGTAATATTAAAACATTTCCAACATTTCCTTTCTCGATAAACAAGAGTGATTTCAAATGACGATTATTATGAATACATATGTATTTTCGTGATCGAATTTTCAACGATTGAAACAAAATTATTCAGAATCGTCTATTTCGATAGTTATCGAAATGTCCATTCATTATCGCGAGACATAATTATGAAAATATGATGAAATAATCAAAAACGATTTGTAACGATTTGTAATGCTATTAAGCTTTATAAAACTTTCAAAATTTAGAAATATTTTTTTCGTTGATTTTGAAAACTACAAAACTCGTCGTTGAATAATTTTTTGGTTTTTTCATCGAAAATGTTTCCACCTGTTGTTCGGCACTTTGCAATTCTCATAGTCTAGAAAACTCACATAGTCCAGATTTCGTGTTTGTGCTTTCCAGAAGGAACAAAAATTAGAGCGTTTTTTCTCCTTCTTTTTTTTTCTCTTTTTTTTTTTACATACTTTCTCTCCTTTTTTACCTCTGTTTTTCTCTTTCTCCCTCCCCTCCCCTCTCTTTCTCTTTCTCCTTCCCCTTGACGTTGAAATTGTTCGATTGACGTCGGGAAATATTCGGAACGTTTTTTTCTCTTCTTGTAGCTTTTAGTAACGTTCCCCCACGAGGGAATCCTGTGTACGTGCGCTTTCACAGAGTGCTTCATTCGCCATAATTCAGCGAACCGAAACGAACCAAACGAAGCAGACTGGACGATATACTTGTCTGAATACGTGCTTCGCAGACTATCCTCTTTCTAGATTTCATTGTCATCCTCGTGAGCTTGAAATTCTATGGTATGTCCAAAGTATTTAATTCCTTCTACCACCTACGAATTATTTGCTTTCCTACGAACAATAGATAGCTCGAGGAAAGGAATTAAATGATATTAATTATTCTCAATATCGCAATTCGTCGATTTCTTTGAAAATATTTAGGATAAAAGATCAAATGAAATACATTCGAATATCGAGTTCCATTCTTTTTCTCTTTTTTTTTTTTTTTTGTTTTTATCCAAATAAATCTCGTAGCTTTGTATTTATGTACCATTTAAACATTTCGACGTCTTGATTCGTTACTTTGTTACGTGAACGAAAGAGAATTGTTCTTAAAAGTCGAACTAATCGAAAATCCGGTAAGCGTGAAGTCACTCGATGTGACGTGCATCGTTTCTATCATTGTTCGAAAGGTAGGGCAAAGGGAATTGACTAACGGTTACTTTCGCACGTTCGACCTTTTAACGTGCGGTCCAATGGGGAATAGGAAACTCCTGAATTGTCCTAAAGTGCTTTGGCACGGTTTAGCGAGAATCAGGCCCGTAACAGCTGTTGAACGGATTTATTCTTCCTGTCGGTCGTGTCGTATCGTCCGTTGAATTATTGAATCGGATAGCACTTTCCACGGGACGATTAAGTGACAGCTAACGAAACGATCCCGTGTATTCTTTTTTATTTCGTTCACACAACTAAAATCCTTTTGCTTTATCGAATTAAGAATCATTTCGTAAATAAATGCAATTTTTTTTTTTTTATAAACAAAT